AGTTGCCACTAAATAGGTCGAATGCTCGAATTGACATTGAATGGAGCCCGATCTAGTGACGCGTCATTCAACGAGACTTAACTAGTGATGGAAAATATATCGACAGTTTTAAAAGGTGAAAGAAGAAAAATGACGTAAATTCTTTTAAAAGACAAGTAATGGTTTTTATTTTATTACAACAATAGAAATGATACTGATAACTTATTATTTCGAAATTCCAAAGCAGTGAGCTCCGTAGTAAAAAAAACATAGTATAAGCAAAAGTATCATGTAGTTCATAAAAAAAAACAAAATGATGTCTTACAGAACAGGATTGAAGTTGTGATTCCGAAATCCAATTTTGCAATCATCTGCGATTCTAAATTCTGAAAAAGTTACCTCAAATACTTTGTTTCGATTTTATGATGAAAGAAGTGCTGAAATTCAAGTAGTAAAATTGCAGCTAATATTATTTTTTCTAAACGAGGTTCTTAGTAGTTTGGTATCTCTAATAACGGTTAAAATACATATCTTAACCGTTATTAGATATGCCGATAACTTGCCTTTAGTTCATTGAGAGGACAGCACTATTTGGCTTCTCGCCAAGTGGACCGTCTCGGGCAATGCTCACACCGCAATGCATGCATTAACGGGCACATCATATTATTTATAACGAGCGAGACTAAACATGTCTGCCGACGCACTAATAATTGCGTAAAATTTGCCATTTTTTTTGACTCCTACTAGTCTTTTACTCATGCTTTGATGCATTTTGGTATTTCATTAAATGGACAATTACTTAGGAGTAGAAATGTAATTATTTAGATAAGCTCGTTACAGTGTGGTACGAGATATTTTTGTGCAAAATTTTACCGAAATAGATACGTTGAACCATTACGTCACAGTGGAAATTGATATTAATAAAAACATTGTTTACGTCGTCTTCTTCCTACGTGGATTAGGTAATAATAGAAATATAAGAAATACTTTCTAATTTCTGTGCTGCTATTTTTATCATGCTTTGAGACGATATTTACGAGTCTATATTAATTTTAACTAGTTAAAAACACAAAAAAGGTTTATATCATGAGACTTATTTGCACCAAAGAATAGGAGGGAAGAAGCGAAAGCTTAGCACACTACTTGTCCAAACACAATGGTCACAGGTTTATCAGTTAACTAACTTAAGGGCAATAATAATTTCTTAATTAAGAAAGTATGTTTTTAAGGCTTTAACTGCGTCTGCGCAGGAAAATCAGTAGCGTGCAGAACTTGTGTCTTTAATTCACTTCAGTCCAGCTATTTTTTATTATGGATAAAGATTTACTTCTTGTGGGATTTTAAACCCGTCTCCGAGTGCCTGTTTCATATACAGAGATTAGCAACTCACAACAATTTTCACTATCTTAGCCACAGCTCGTGTTACGCCGACTAGGGAATTTAGATTAGTTCCGGAGCTTGTGACGTTACAAGATTACTGAGATTCGGTTTAATTTTAGATTTGGAGTTTGCTCTTATAACTTCTATGAATTTGAGGCAAACATTATAATTTATGAAAAATACAGTAAAACCCGTATAGGACGATTTCACAAGGACTCAACCAAAAATGCGTCTTAAGCGGGGAAGCGTATTATGCAGGATTGCGAGATAGAGAAATTTCGAATGTAGGTATTGAGGTATTAAATGTACAATATTTAAGAATTGGGTACGTTATATCAAATGTGTAGTGTAGTATTATTACGTTTGTATTTAAAATAAAGGAGTCATTAGCAATTACAAGATTTTCAACATAATTTAACTTTTGCAGTGCATCTTCGCTTTGATTCAAAGAAGTTACATATTGTCTTAAATCATTAATTGCTGATAATGCCTGGGCGTGTAACAAAATCTTAGTTAACTCATCTTCTTTTGATCATTATCACTTAGGGCCTCTTCTTGTGAGGTATTCACATTCTCATTGAATTTTATGATGCTGCAAGAGTGGTACGATGTGTGGTACGTGTTGGCGATTTAGGCGTATTAAACGGGATGACGTATCGAATTAAGCGTTAAGAAATGTATGAAAATATGTCCCAAGTTGCAAGAACTGACACAAAATGGCGTATTATGCGAGAAATCGTATTAAGCGTGATCGTATTAAACGGGTTCTACTGTAACTAGATTCTGATCGAAACTTCATTTAAATGAACTTTAGAGTTTATGATTATGAGGAACCAAAATCATCTTTTACCGGGAATGTGCAGCCTTTTCAGGTCTGCAACCTGAAAAGGCTGCGAAACGTCAATAAATAAATAAGGTTTCGTGCATTAACCCGTAACAACTAGTTTTATTTAATGAGTGATGTGCGTGAAAACCTAAGAAACAAAAATGTTCTCCGGTGTCAATCCGGTGATATTTTTGTGTGTCATATTTTGACTATTCAATTATTATCGCATGATCAAACATGTGAACATTTGTAATTTTACAATTTTTAAGTGTTAAATGTATTGCATTAGCTCCTAACATCCATTCTATTTTATAATGTCTCGACTTAGATGCTTTATAATATCTTCACTACTGATTTTCATTACAAAAGGTGACATATAATGTTGTATAACATATTATGTTTAAACATTTACAATCGTGTATTTTTTAAACCTAGCCATTATATTTAACTAAATCATTTTAATATAAACAATCTGGGCCACAGTATTTCAATACACGCACCTTATCGCATAAATAGAACCGTCTTCGATTAAGCAACTGAAATTGAATCGTTCTTGTATTACCGAACACGCGATGTTGTTTTATTAAAACAGTTTTTGTCTTTCACCTTTTTCTGTAGTTCGAGGGTAATGTCATCATTAGGTTATATTATGTCTGTAATCTTTTATCGATACCCACGTAAAATTAGAATGATAAATACCCCTATATCTATATCTATAATATGTATAAAAATGAATCGCTTAATGTGTTGCTAAACGCAAATCTCGAGAATAGCGAAAATGTGAACCCATTTCGATATATTTTTTTTTAGAATATTCCTTGAAGTACGAGGATGGCTTTTACTCAGAGAAAATTTTAAAAAATTGCCTGAAAAAGGAAAAAAAAACACTTTTCTATACTCCCAAACGACTCGTTATAATACTTAAAAGTCTTTTTTACCTTATTTGAACTTTAATACCATATCATAAATTTCAAATGTTAGTGGAGAGGTTCCGGGAAGGCAAAACAATTGAGTGACGTGATGTTAATAGAAGCAAATAATAAATATAAACTCTACCAAGTTTAAATTTACTTTCTAAAAAATAAATGGGCAGGGTTTGTCCTTTGAACACATCCAGTAGGAAAAAATTATAGGCTGTTGCTGAAGTAAAACTTCGATGGAGCAGATGGTAAGCGCATTCCATCTGCGATAGTGAAAGTTAAGCAACTTTCCCATCAATGGGATGGGTGACCAAAAAACTTATTATCTCGAGCTCATCTGTACTTCGGAAGGCTTCATCCTGGCTGCATCTGCAGTTATTAGGACCCACCTATCCGCACTGGTGGGTCCCGCTTGGTGGGAAATGGCACATTCTCCCTATGCCATCCTAGGGAAGACCTGCGCATGATCTAGCAGCGTAGGCATTAATAGCCTGATGAGAATTGGGAGGCTGAAGCAACAGTTTACATTTAGGATAATTTGCTATTTTTGTTATAAACAGTAGGTTTTCCCTACAGATCTCTGTATCTATACTTCTAAATCAATGTTAAGGAAAGATTTGATTGTTTGTTTGTATTGAATAGGCTGCGAAACTACTGAATCGATTTGAAAAATTCTTTCACATTTAGAATTATACATTATCTCCCTGATGAAAAAAGGCTATAGAGTATTTTCATAAAAGTCAGGGTTCCGTATGAAAAGTTCGATAATGTAACCCAATGTGTGAAAAAAATACCAAAAAACAACGTTATATCGCGTACGCTGCGGAAGTCATTGACAATATAGCAAAGTGATGTACTATTTTTGTATAGAGAACACCAATATCTTCAAAAAGTCCGCGATTCTATATGTCTAACTATTACAGTTATGTCACAACTAGAGGCCTTTTGCGATTTCAACCGCTTTAATTTCAGATAAAAGGTGACATAGTGACAACGTAGACAAATGCCTACGGGGACTTTTTTGTAGAATAATAAATAATAAATAAATAAATATAAATATTTCCAACACTCACACCAATTAGCCTAGCCCCAAAGTAAGCACTATAAGGCTTGTGTTATGGGATGCTAGGGTAACGGATAGAATACATATACTGTACACATATAAGTATATTTAATATAGAAATAGATATTAAACATCCATGACTGGAGTACAAATGCTCGTATTCATCACACAAACATCTGCCCCCACCGGGATTCGAACCCGAGACCTCTCGAGTCGGCGACACCATGAAACCCGGCGTACAAACCACTCGGCCACGGAGGTCGTCACGGAGAACTTTTAAATGAATGAAAATAATTCCGTAATACATGATTTTTGTGTAGCTTTAACCGTTTACCGAGCACACGCTACGGAAGCTCACAAATGGAGTATTTTCAGCTGTTTTTGCAACATTTTTCATCGATGCTCCGATGCTAGTGGTCCTAACGTGGTAGCATAAAAAAAAACAAATCGGGCCAGTATTTTAGGAGATTAGGGCGTTCTAACAAAAAACAAACATAGAAACTCTCCAACTTTATGATATTAGTAAATTTGTCTTATTTTCACTGAAGCTTTATAATTATATGAAGAGTCATTTTAGTCTACACTACAGCTCAACACCGAAGCGAAGCGAGGGCGAGCAACTAGTTTTTTATAATTTATGTAAAATTATTACCGAGTCGTTCCGTTTTACCTTTTTTTAATGAAACTGTTCATGATGGTTGTTACTAAAACTACGATAACCTCTTGTAATTTAGGGTTGATATTGGTATAGGTCACAGGGAAAGTTAAATAATAATTGGAACTTTTATTATCTAACTGGGAAGACTACATTTCGTTTTTCTATTTGTTTCAGGCTGGACCCACCGGTTTCGCAAACACAATACCAAATGGAGAACAAAAAGCCGGTGCCGGCAACCCAGCAGCCGCTTACTCAGCAACACCTCATGGCTCACCATGTGCACCCAGACCAGATCTACGCTTCGCAGAACACACAACTCGCCGCGCACCTTACATCTGCGCAGGCCGGACAAATCCAACCTAATGGCGTAATGCACCAGCTACTACAAAGCCAATACCACTCCAACATGAACGCGCGATCGCCGCTACTAGAAAATAGACACGAATTATACGGCACTGGACACAATCACGATTACGGCAGGCATTATGGAGCTAATGACAATTACAATTACCCGCAGTCTCCGCCCAGAGTGGAACGAAACGAAATGCACACAGACCACAATGTGAATCACGAACTCCTGCAAAACATACCGAAGGGGTACAACGCGGAAGTGTACCAGGATTATTTGAAACGTAACCCACCGAGAGATACCAATCAAATATACCAAAATCACCAGACCACATATAGACCTAATGTAAACCAATACGGGAGTAAGCCATATTTACCGTACTCTAATAGGATAGGGCCACAGAGCAACACAGAATTGTTAAGGAGACAGTACAATGAAATCCAACAAATGAAACTGCAACAGCAACTACATTATCAAAATCAGGCGCAAATGCATCAACAGCAGAAGTTTGCTGAAAGACAATTATTATTACAGCAAATTCACGGTGTCCAACCACCGCCGAACTTACAGAACAGTATATATTCAGACAGTTCCTACAGAGACTTAGACCGATATAGTAGCAAAAACGATTTTAAAGAGTACAGTAGTCCAGACATTCACAAAGATTTTGATAGGTACGCAAAGAATAATGAATACAGAGACATGGAGAAGCAGAATAGACAATACATAGAAACTCAATGGCAATCTGATCAAATGGATTTCAGAGAAGTTGAGAGGCAAAGACGACAATCGGAAGGGGAGAAAGGAAATTGTCAATCGCCACCTTCGGAATTGAACAACCAAGGTCAGAAGAGTGGTAACGTTGGAGTAGTATCACCGATGAAATCTAGTGAATCGAGTACACCCAGCGTTAAGTCGCCCTCTTCTGAAAGTCGAAGAAGTAGCGGAGGGAATCAAGCTTTAAGGTCACCAATTGCTCAAAGAATACCGTCGGCTCCCGTCACGATGGCTGGTATACTTTACAAACAGGGTTCGGATGGTCTGAAGGTCTGGAGGAAGAGATGGTTCGTACTATCGGAATACTGTCTGTTCTACTACAAAAGTGAGTATACTTTTTTATTTATCTCGTAATCCCTCATTTATTTTTATAAATCGTTATTTATTATCATGATCGTTATTCGTATCTTTCCCTAATTACAAGAGTATCATAAATACTTGTTGTGTTATTGAAATCAGACACATCGAAGACAAATACTATTGGATATAATTATGTGACTACGGTACCTATAATGTCTTAAATAAATGATATAATCATTAACCTAATAATACCTACTGCTGGAGCACAGGCCTTCCTTATGGATAGAATGCCTGAATAAATTGTCAGAAATGGGTGAATAATAAATTTTGTTGAACAGTCCAAAAATTCCCTTCTTCCTTTAGCAATATTCGAAAAACTATTTTGTTTGTCAAGTCGATTCCAGGCTAGCACATGGAACCAGTGAATTTTTTCTAATTTAATTTTACACAGATTTACAAATTTCTTGTATGTATCCTTGCAGGCCAAGACGAGGAGAAGCTGTTAGGATCAGTATTGTTACCTTCCTACAAGGTTTCAGCGTGCACTAATGAAGACAAGGTGCTGAGAAAGTTCTCCTTCAAGCTGGAACACGCAAACATGCGCACTTACATATTGGCGGCGCCAGACCAGGAGTCCATGTTAAAATGGGTCAAGGCGCTAACCATGGCTGCGTTAATGCAGAGCCCAAGGTAAGAATGTTACTTTACACTACTAAAGTCACCTTTCACGACAATGACACACTACATTTGGATCCAATCACAAAAATAAAACTACAAAAACCAAACTCATATATAAGTTGGGTTTCATAGATAATATTTGGATTTAAAACAGCAACTTGAACAACCAAGCTCATTATCTCTTGGTTATTAATTTCCCGGTTTTAACTATGCCTAATGTTGACTAACATTGGAATTTCATTAACGAACGCCACTTGTTATTTAACATTGATCAAAACTAATTTGCTATCCGGAAACGGCAGTTAATCTATCTGTACATGTATCAATCTGTAGATCTTAAATCGATACGCATTCTATTGATATAGCTATGCTTACTCAATACTCTTGGGCTTTGGACATAATCTTTGATCGTTTTTCAATTAAATAAAACGTTTATAGAAGTTCTTATAAATGTTAAATGTACTTTTATACACAGTTATGTTTAATTTCTTATATTCAAGCATTTATAGAAAAGTATTTTTTTAAAACCACGTGGTAGGGGATTAAGTCAGGGTTGGTAACGGTGTGAGTGATATTTTTTTTCAACATGTATATCCATCAGTCCGCCGACTGCTTTTTGTTATTTTATTATCTAATTTAACCTTTTTATTTTTCACTTACAGTGACATTCAGCAAAAGCAGAACGAGAGAACAGCTGCGAAAACAGAGGTGGGTATTATTATTTTGTGCACGGATGTGTGAGCAATGCAGGTGATCCACAATTATACCGACGGAGCGGAACCAAGGACAGCAATTACTGCATCGCCGTAACTGTGCATAATGATCCGAATGGTCGTCGCCAATTTATAGTGGTCGCATTTTAAACGTTTCGTTCTCATGATGATGAAGTTGGTTCTCAAACTTATTTTGTTTATCGCTCACCCAATTTAAAAATAAATTATTTTCTAACGCCTACCAGAATCATAATCATACCGCATCCCAAAAACATAGACTTTGCCAAGTTTGAAAATTACTTTATTGTAAAAAGATCTCTAAAATTGTGTGTTTTATTTCTACAATCAAATACTGCAGCAATGAAGATTAAATAATTCATGAAGTACAATAAATAGATAGTTTTAAAAGCTAGTATTACGAAAAAAGAAACATAAATCAAATCAGATATCGCCACCCTAAGCTATTTTAATATGCTTCAATTGTCTCTGGATCCTTAACGCCCCTCTAGTAGGTTTCCAGTGTTCACAAGGGGTCGTTATCGCCACTTTGAGAAACATTGCAATACAATGATACAACAAACAAAGTAGGTTACTACCTCCTTACTAGGGTTGGCATGATCTAGTAGCAAGCAGAATGAAAGAGTGATATTATATTGATACCAAATTACTTTTTACAGAGCAAGCTATTAATAATTTTGTATCGTTTCAGGATGGTGATGATGTCCCGACTTATGCTAATGCCCCACCGAAACCGAGGAGATCTAACGAGGGATATAATTCTCCTAGTCCAAATATGTAAGTTGTAATTGTTTAATAGAAAAGAAATAGACACTTAAGCCACTATAATCATAATGAATATTGGCTAACAGATTTAAACAATGTTAGTTGGCTAACGACATTCCAAGGGGTAGATAACAAGGTCAGACTAGGCAGCGAGTGTTTAATGCTTTTGTTGAAGACGTCTATAGGGTTGCTGTTTACCATCAGACGTGCTTTATGTTGTTTTGCTACTGTTTTATATAATAAAAAAATGTGATAATGTATAATTTATATACTAGTCTAGGGACATTTATAGTCAGTCAATGTTCAATTCAGTTAAAAATACCTTTAGGGCTACAAGTTACCATTAGTTGCTAAAATAATAACCAAACGAAATTTACAGGTACGATCCGAATTATGATCTACTCAAAAAGCCAGCATCACATTACAGTCAAGGCACCAGTCACACTAGATACCAGGATCACACCAACTACGGGACAAGCCCTCAGGATAGTACATACATACGCAGCCCACAGTCACCACCGCCACAACAACCCTCGCAGTACCAAACAAAACGAACCTACGACAGCCACAATCTCTCCTTACCACTCACTAACACGACTGATCGACACGACAATAGCCAACCAAGTACCTCAAACCACTACAAGCCTAATCCACAGTCGCCTTACTTTGATAATAGGATCAGAGGTCAGCAGCAAGCGCAACAAATGCCGCAGGAAAATGTACAAGAGCAAATTTACGATCGACAGCCGCAACAAAATCCGTTTTTGCAAGACAACACCTCTCAACTGGAAACACCGCTCAAAGAAAATGACCATCAAAGTCTAAACAATCGAACAACATTAGAACAAGAAAAATCCCCGCAAAATTATGAAATTTATGACACACGTCCCAATCAAAAGTCAAATACGGACCCGAATGCGTATAATAGGGATGTTTATGGAGAATTGAATTTAAGAAGCAACAGGGCTCAAGGTGGTGTTAACGAGCGGCTGTTGATCGAGAGGCGAACTCCAGATGCATATGGTAGGTCTACCACTTTGGCTGCATACGACAGTAACAAAGGAAAAGTTGGCGATTATGAGGATGTTTACGGAACTTATGCAAAATCTCCAATCACTCCACAGTCGAGTCAACAGCAATCACAAGATTATGCAGGAAATTATGTAAGTAAATTTTATTTACATTCTTAAATAACTAACCTAGTCAAACACCATAGTTTGGTAGAGAAAAAATTATCACACACATCACTCTCATAGTCTTACCTCAACGTCGGTCGTTATCCTTGGTTGGGTCTAAACTGCAGTCTGGAAATAGTGACAGTTTGACAGTTCACAACTCTTTCTGAAGATGATCTGTCTGTTTACAGTTTTTTTACGAGGGCAAGCTAGCATCTGACATATCAGCTTTGCTTTATTTTCACTCCCAGTGTAGCATGGGAGACAAACTGAGCTTTAATTGTTTTTTAGTATCTACAAAGTTAATTTTACACTCAATTTTGTTTACAGCCACAGGAGAAGACATTTAGCGGCCCATCGGTTCTGAGAAGAAAAAAAATGCAATCTAGCGGTGTCAATCCTCCAATGCCAAGGCCACATAGTGCAGATTTTCTAGAATACGAGTCTAAGAATGAAATACTGAACAAAACGATGCCAACTCGAGCAACGTGCGACCCGCCGAAACAACCGCAGCGACCCAAATCTAGTCTAGATATAAATTCGTATTACGACCCCAGCTCAGATAGATACTATTCTGAGGAGAGTTACGCTGAGAAGATGCGCCAATCTGCACAATATTTACAACAAGGAATGGGTCCTCGTAACATTCAAATCCCACTAGCGAAATACGCGAGCGGCTTAGCCGAAAAACAGTTGAGTACAGCATATTCTCAAATGTCAAACAACAATTTCGATACCGATTTAGGTCAGAATAGAACATCTCGCGAAAATTTGAACTATGGTACAAAGTATGGGGATATAGAAGGGCTCAATTCGAATTGGACATTGAAAGAAAAGAGCCTTGAAAACCAAAAAGATTTCCTTTACAGAAGCGGTAGTGTTATGAGTGACGGTTCAAACGTAAGTGCTTATACAAAGGAAATGAGTCGACTCGATCCTTCGGGTGAAGGTTTTATGAGATCTGCAAGTGCCAGATTACCATCTACAGCCACAGAAAAGGAGGGCGATAAGAAAGTTCAGCAGGTAAATGATAAAAAAGAACAAATTTTCATTAGTAATCATTTTCAGTTTAAAAACCCTATCAGTGTTACCATTCTGTGATACAGTATATTTCTTTAAAGTACTAGGTACTTAGTTTAAAACGATTTTGGCCCCTGAAATAGATTACAGAATCTTGGCATTGTATATTAAGCCCATATCTCAATTCTTATAAAATTTATGTTTTATTACTTACAGCGAGAAGAATCGATGAAACGTTTACTAGAATGGAAGCAGAGAATGCTACAGTCTCCTTTGACTAGGAAAAGTACGCCGGCGACTATATCTTTGGCTCGATCTCTGAATCAAAGTCGTCAATCGCTGAGGTCAGACCAATATAAATCTAAGACGTACACAAACGCTTCTTACAACAGCTACTCTTCAGACGATGAAGGTATGTTATTATTTGCTTATGATAATTTGTTATTAGGGACGATTTTAAAATCTCTTTTTGGAACAAGAATTTCAAGACATTGATGTTACTTAATTATGAAAGTATTAAATTTTTAAATTTTATACTATAAAATGTCGACGGAGAAAATGAAATCGTCCTAGTTATTATTATTAGGTCGGATAGCATGTATGTATGAATCAACCTATTTAATATTTTTAAATATAAAAGTATATTTCGTCATAAGTATGAGTTTAAGGAAGAGGATATTAAAATATATATATATATAAAGCATGGAGATCCATAAAAGTGCATGTTTGAGAAAAAATATGTTCATTGATTTGTAATAATACACGATATTTTTTTTTGAAGTATATTTTATAAAAATCTGAAGACTTACTGACAATATTGATAATAATGTTGATTGATTCGATAGTAATACATAATATTTGGTAATGATAGGTTTTAGTACTCACACAAATTCTCTATAATATAACAATAATTAGTTTTATTTTGTATTATATTATTTTCAATAATGTTGATACCCATACCCTATTTAAGAATTTACAGTCAGAATTTAATGTATTTTCATACTTATCTGTATTAATAACTATCCAAGACTTTGTTTTTATTTTTTATCAAATTAATTTTATAATTATTTAAAATATCGTCCTGCAGTAGCATCTATAATGACTTCGCTTTGCGGAAAGGTACCTTCCTGCCTGCGGGGAAATTGTGCCACTAACAAGATATGGTATAATTAGTAATGGTGGTGGTGGGCTAATCTTAATGGTGGCAGTTTTTGTATAAAAAGTAGTTTGCATATTCTAACATTTGAAGCCGATGAAATTCATACTAACACGATGAAACAGTAACCATACTCATGAACCCTCTATCGCATCAATAATAACTGATATGATAGTAATTATCGGTTTCACTTTTGCACCTCAGAGGAAACACCGGGCACTGAACTGCAAAACACAAGAGATATGCAGGCAGGAAGGTCCCATAGAATGGAAATAATAAGTCCTTTAGTAATATCACCCTCTACTCCACACGCACCTATTCAAAATAACACTGAGAGAACTGTAGAAATTGAAACAAGTAGTGAACAACCCACAGGCGCTGTAGAAAATGTGTATGAGAACGTTCTTTGTACAATATCTTTGGAAAAACCCGAAAAAGATGAAGAAAAAAGCCAAGACAAAGATGAAATTACTGTTGAGAAAGAGCCACCAAATCAAGATACCGTCGAATTAAGTGGATATGAAACCCATGAAAGTGAAGCCGAATCTGAGACCCAAGGTGAATATACAGATAATGATTTGGATGAAGTTTTATTGGAATCGGATGCTGAACCTCATCCACAACAGCAACAGTGTAATGAAAGTCAGGAAATGACTGAACACAATTTAGAAAATGATTCAACAATAAATCAAGATACACAGACAATTGATGATAAATCTGAAACTCCACCAGTTACATCAACATCTGAAGATCATTATTTACCAATGAGTCCTAGAAAAACATCAGCTGCAGAGTTAGCTCATAAAATAATACTCGAAAACCTAAGTATCTTTGATGAAACTTTACCAATTAGTTGTGATGATAATCCTTACGTTGAAATGAATATCGGAAATGAGGAAGAAGATATGCAAACATACGAGATTGTATGTGTTAACGGAGGTAAAATAGAACCCGTGTATATGGAATTAAGTAATGTATCTTGTCACAATGAAAATAAGACAGATGCACCAGTTTCTACTAACATTTCAACTGACACTGCGTCGAATTTTGCTGATACAAAGGATCACACATTAAAAAGAGCTTCAAAAACTGACAAACTGCCAAAAGAAAAATCTGATTGTTCTGATGCTGATGACGACTCTACCAGAGATATTGCAACGCTTGATACGCCTTTTAGTCGATTTAGTATATCCGATACTTTTAGGCCAGCATCGTATTATCTAAGCGGTAGTAGAAGCATTTTAATGAGACAGGATAGTTCGGATAGTGATATTCTCTCACCTCCACCGATCCCGGCATCTTCGCCTCCTTGTGAAGATTTATCAGATGATGCTCTCTCAAAGTATATTTTAGATAAACTAGATAAATCTGATATGTCTCATGACAATTCAATTCTCAAAATGTTGACTAGTGAAAATCAAAAGATGAATACTGTGAAAAGAAAGACTACTTCATTAATGATCTATGGTAGTAAAACCTCTATTCATGATACACTCACAAGGGGTGAAAAAATCCGAAATAGCAGAGCAAGTCTTACGAGCGACAAAAATAAAATTAAAGTGAGCACATCTAAATTGTTAAGTAATTCAATCCTAGAACATTACAATTCTAGTGGTAATGAAACGGACTCGCTAATTAGTTACAATGCAGATAAAGCATCATCTAGATTGTCTTTAGAATCCGATGTCAGTAGTAAATTTGAAATTACCCCATCAAACTTATCATCAGAAGTAGCTAGTTTAAATGGAAGTGAAATAGCTGCTGATATTGATTTAAGACACCCATTTATCTATCGTGACCCTGATATGATTTTAAAGAGAAGACCATTATCTGATGATTCATTATTTGAGTTAACATCTACAGAAATTCCTACACATAGTGATTTAAACAGCAACGTTGATTTAGATAGATTTCTGGACAACTTACAACCAAACCATAACGATTCAACAAACCTACTGCAAGGAACTTCTTTATATGATATGTCATTGATCGATATAAATAACTCTTCAAAAGATAATCTTCTTCGAGCGGCTAATTTGCGAGCGAGTGTTTCTCATACACGTTGCTCTAGTACGCCTGTGAGTCATGCCAATAAAGTTGATAACAAAAATTTTATTGGTATGAACCAAAGATATAACACTGGAAATATGTCTGGTTACATGGGATCACAAAGTTCATGTAGTTCGGCGGGATTATCGAAATCACCTATTTCCTATTACTGCAAAAGTTATGATGAAGCAAACATGTTAAGTAAGAACTTGAATAAGGACACAATAACTGATAAAATAAAAGAATTTGAAAACGAAAAGAGTTCTCTTAGAGCTGGTATCGACACGAATACACCTAGTACCACGACAGGTTTTCACAGCAGAGAAAGTTCTACTGAGCATAGTGCACCTTATTATTATTCTGATCTTTCTTCACAAGAACATATCAACGTCCTACCTACGTCGCACTATTTAAAAAACACAAATCTTCATCGTAAGCTTAATAATCAGCGACGAAGGGGACCACTACATAAGAAAAACGAAATTTCACATATTCATAACCCTATAAGAAATAACCACGTACTTATGTCTGACTTAGCTGCAACCGCAAGAAGTGTATCTGTCGAATTTTTAAGCGCTGCAGATAAAGATCCCGAAATAGATATGAAAAACCTTTACGAGTCTACTAGCAGTAAAGTATCAAAAATACCCGAGTCAATGAATTTATTAACCAATCTTGGCTACAAAAAAAGTTCAGGAAACACAAGTTATACTGACACGTCCTCCCCTGATTCTAATGGAATAGGCGCCACAAGTTTAAATGCTAGTTCACTTTTGAAAAATTCCACCGCAAGTATGTCATCACACTGTAGCGGAAATTCCTCAAATACAGTTTATTACGATGCTGAAGCTGAATCGAGTCCATATGAAAATGTTTTATGTCAGGGAGAAAAGCATTGGGATGAAGATGCACTGTGGAGAGACAATCTTAGAAGAGTATCACACAGACACGCCAGATCGATGGACGATCTCGATGAATGCAGACATGTACCTGCTGAATCATCTATCGGTCGTTCAGTGATAGATGCCAGTGGCATGAATAGCATCAAGCGAATAAAAAAAGATTGTGTAAATAAACCATCTCGTAATGTTACTTATGTAAATTGTGATATTCAAAGCCAAATATTGCGACGCAGAGAGAGCACTAGTTTACACACTACATGTTTCGAAGAAGAAGAACAAGTTGAAGATGATGATGTGTATGTAAGTTTAGCTGAGAGTACGGATATGCCTGGTGTGCCACCTTGCGATGAAGGTGTTTACGAACAGTTAACTGTAGATACTGCAACTAACACATTGGTTCCATCGAAACGAGACAAAAAGAGTAACGTTCAATGCAGGGATAAGAAAAAATTTGAAATAGATAGAGAAAAACTTAGGCAGTGGGATTTGATGTCAAGTGGTTTGATGAAAAGCGGGGCCGGTAGCGTGCGGGGTGGGGGTGTCGGTGTGGGAGTGGGGGGTGCTCTATGTAACACGGACAATGGAAATGAAAATGCAAGCACAGAAGGTATCCTCTAACATACTATGGTCCTGTGAGGTACACTGTAAGTTATATTTCTTTTATAATTATACTGCAAAGCAAAGTCATTATTAAAAATATGAATATATAGATATCTAGGCTGAATTAACGGTTCAAACAAGATAAGGTGTACAGCGTATTAAAGCATGTTTTATTTTAACATACTGTTTGTACATAGTAAGCAATTCAACATTTACTAATTCAAACTGCACTTTATCATGTTTTTACCATTTTATTGGTAATATTAATGCTTTATATTTTTACATGAGACTTTTCTGTCTTTACTTATTATAAACATTATTAAGCATTTGTTACTTTTTAGCTTCTATGACAATGTCAGGTACCAACGTAGATCCCAGCTCAAACAATAATTCGATAAATCAGCAAGCATTGTCAAAGAAAGCTTTTCTCGGAAGTAATACGTCAATCGGTAGAAATAACAGAGATTCAAATATACCAGTACGCGCCGTAAGTCCCAGAGTTAGATGGGTAGAAGACAAATCACCTAATGATACTTATGGATCGCAACAGATGTCAACATCCCAGCAAAACGTGAGTATTAACTTTTTTATTTGTACTGCTGATTAGTTTCCTATACAAAATAGTTTCCTACATTCCTGAATCTGAGTTCACACGCACAAGAATGTTGAACAAAATTTGACATCTTGGTTGTACTGAAGACAAGCAGAGAAAAGATGATTCTTTGAATGCTAATTTTTTTTTCAAATAATTTCCACCTTGTAGAACTCTCTCCAACCAAATAATATTATTCTATTACGGTATTTTCGTGCAATGAGTACCCAAGCTCGAATGGCTAAGGAGCTAGTGAAGAACGTACATCGTCTATTTGGCGTTTGGACTCCCTTTATGTTTTATGAATTTTCCATGATTCTTTACACACTATCGATATCTCTGAATAATATTGTATTATTTCCAGTTACACACACTCACAACTACAGAGGACTCCTGGGCAACCGCTCGGTCGCCATCTCGTGCTTCACAGCAACCAATCAGAGCAGTCAGCCCGCGAGTCCGAAGGAACACGGAAAACGACGACTTGGTACGAACTAAACTTTTTCATGACCTAGTAGTGTGAGTTGTATGTACCTACGCCGGTTTTCAAGGCTTCCTACTCAGGGTTCAAATCCCAGTGGAGGATATGTTTGTGTAATGAATACGAGCGTTTACCTAAGTCATGGATGTTTATATGTATTTGTGGATACCAATGTATGGAACATTAGGATTTCTAACCTTTACTTGAAGTGCAGCCAACAAACGAATACTATTCTGACAGGTCGTGTTAGCTTCGACGACGACGATGACGACAGAATTACTTTTTTTTTACTAGAGCGAAGGTGTACTTTATTCTGTCATCATAGGGATTTGATTGACACGAGCTGTCAGGAACTCAGGCCACACTGTAGTATCCCTTATGCCTTAAAATGCTTGGGGCATTTTGAGGCAAGGCTAATTGGTGCGAGTGTGTAGATGTTTCTTTTTAGTTTACGTTTGTCTTTATTTTTATTTTAAACATGATATGTGATAGGCAATTATTATTTTTGTTGTGCTTTTGTTTTGTTTATTATTATATTTGGGTACACGTATTATGTTGTCGTTAGCAAAGGGAAGGCCAGCGGCCGAGTCAGATCGACCATTTGGGGGAAGTCCCCACTGCTGGAGAGCTCTTGGGTCGCACTCACGAAGAGTTGGTGCTTCTTTTGATCCAACTGAGGAGACGGCATGCGGCTACCCATCGCGCCATTGAACAGTGCCGCGCGCAGATTAATAGTATAGAGGTGTTTTTATTTTTCGTTTATGCTTTATTTTTGTTACTTTTTTTTATAATTTAATTTGTTTTATTTTTTAGAGTCTGGATAAAATAAATGCAAGATTTGAAATATGGGACCTTTATACCTTAACTTTTATCTTATTTATCAGTAACTGTATTGCTTTTTTATTTGCCGGCACTTCACATGGTTATTCGTTTTTGCTATTTGTAAATTGACAAAAGTCTCTCCTTTTTACTCTCTATAGAGTATGATAAGGACAACCTGCTGTCAAAACGACAAATAGTAAATACGAATTAGATTGGTCCATGTAAATGATTTGTGAAAAACACATTTGATAAATTAATTTAGAATAAAAAATAAAGGAGTTGCCTCTAAAAAAAGCAAAGCCATATTATATTATCAGAGCGTATAGCGCACATTAATCTCTCAAAATTTTGTGACTAAACTTTCAATACTTCTTCTTCATATGTTCGATTATGAATTATGTCTGATATTTGTGCTGAAATTAAAAATAAAGTTTTTTTTATATATATCCAAATACAGTATGTGTGATTCAAACTCTATTAAAGATATTACGATATGATTAACACATTATTTTTCATTCTAACTTTACCATACCAATTACAGGATAACCTCAGTTCCCTGAAAGCGATGGAACGCGAAGAGAACTTGCAACGGTTAGACCAACTAAGGATGCAGTTGATGGAACTAGAACACCAGTACGAGAAGAGTAAGCCTTTAGTGCAACTGGTGGACAATATGGTGAAGCTTGGCTCCTTGTATAATAGACCGGGTTCGACGGTGGAGCGCTTAGAGAGAAACCAAAGATTGCGGCAGAAAGTCCTCGCGGAACACGCTTTGGAGCAACAGAGGTGTGTTAGCTTTTTTTGTTGTCAGAGGCAGTAGATCCATTCCTCGCTTCCTGATACTGGGAAGTATAGAATAAGCTATGATATCGAAAAATTTGAAAATTGTAAAGATAGACGTAAAACTTATCTGCAATCTCAGAACTTTTTCACATCCCGTAAGAGGGCCCCCCTCCTTTGGTTTGCAATTGGAGCGGATCTTTAAAAAATCTCACTTTGAGTTAGTACTGAATAGAAAGTCTTACAGTCTTACTAGACACTTTTACAGAGAGTAAATTATATTAAATTAATATATTTTTACAATCAATGCTAAATTGAAGAAGCAGCAAATGTAAGATTTTAAAATACTCCTTAACCTCCGTCATGTCTACATTCACCTATAATTATGTAGCATAATAGTTCCAGTAGTTCTGAGTTAAAACTCAATAAGCGCAATACATTCCTAACTTATAAATAAAATGAAAGACATGTTCAACTTGTTGCCCCTTCTTACAAAATGCGGACCAAAGTTAGTCTTAGTTTAATCCTAATGCTGTCTTCGTCTTTTAGCAAACAAAAGTGACAGCATTAGTTTTAATCCAGGTTTAACTTTAGTCTACGTTTTGTAGTCACACCGTTTGCGTTAAGAACAACCATTGCAATAAGTAAACGACTATTACTAGGTGGTTAGAAAGTGCTGCAGCTGGGAAACCGCTAGAAACTGAAGCAGCAAGAGCAAGAGTGGCAGAACTGTGGGCATTGGAACAAGAGCTGGCAGATGAAGCTGCTATACTGCAGGGGCTGAAGACTGATAAGGACGCCATCGAGTCTCTGCTTACTGGTACGTTAAGAATTCGCTTTGGACAATAATCTACTAATCTCTGGACTATATTTTGAATGACGATTTAAGAATGAAAGTGATAAATCTTTGATATAATGAGTCGAAAACGCTGTTTGGATTAGGGATTCAATATATTCGTGACCAATAGGGTATTTGACAAGTTTAAGAAACCGATCTCACGTTATTGACTAATGTTTATGGATATTCATCATTCTGTTGTGTATTTCAATAAAAATAACCAAATCAAAAACTCGATTTTCAAGTTGCCGCGAAAACGTTTTTCTGGACAATATGGCCTCTGACTAGTGTTTGACGTCACACGACTGCTGTTAAAATGTCAAACGATATAATGTAATGTCACTTTAACCGAAAGTTTACTTGTGTGTGACGTCATTTTAGGCTCCGCCAATCCCAAGCGTTTTGGGTCACGTGACAATAGATAAGAAAACTATTATCTTTTTCGTGGGTTTTTAGTAAAATTATGAATGTTTTTTTGTAAAAATAGTAAAAACAATATTCATTCTAAATACAGATGCTAACAATTGGCACTTTATTTTAAATACTGTCAAATACCCTATTACTTTTCTTAGAAGAGCTCACCTAATGTTAAGTGTAAACGGAGTGCAGTAGCAAAGATAGCTGATACAGCGTTTGCATGTGATGAAGGCACTTCACTTGGCTATAAAGTGTTTGCTATTTTCCTAACTTGCCATCAGTCAGTCCTTTTCACTCCTTATAAAGTATGACAAGAACAGACTCGTCAAGTTTACAAATAGCAAACACGAATAGCCAAGTGAGGTGCCTGGCATGACGCTTAAGCCATCCTTAAATTGCCTATCTGAATCCAATTCTTATTAAATTGCATAGAGCATATGATGTGTATGAGTTGAGTGACAACGGAGCGAAGTAACATCGAACCATAAAAACTAATCCGACCGATTTCAAAATTTTTTTCACCATTAGAAAACTAAGTTATTTTTGGGTAACATAGACGCTATATTGTATTGTGTTAGGATACATTTTGCGTTGTCAAAGTCGTTGCGATCGCTAATTAGCAGGGTATTTTAATAATTGTCTCCTGTTTTTTATAACTTACTCTTTAGAGATCAGCAACCACAATTGGGCGTCAGGGCGCCTTTCCCCAGCCTTCGGGGCCTACCATCCACGGCCATGGCCCTTTTGGCCCTAGGGTAAATTATTTTTACCCTTAGTATAGATAAGAATATCCACGAGGAGCTCCATGGCGTAAGTGGTTAGCGAGTTCGGTTGCGATTGTTGAAATTAAGCAATTTTCGCAGTGGTCGGTCATTGGATGGGTGACCAAAAATTAACTATCTCCAGCTCCTCCGTGCTTTGGAAGGCACGTTAAGCCGTTGGTCCCGACTGCATCTGCAGTCGTTAGCACCCACCAATCTGCACCGAACCCATGGCCCAATCTCTCAATTCCAGCCATAAGGAAGGCCTGTGCCCCAGCAGTGGGGACATTAATAGGCTGGTGATGTGATGTGATTCTTCTCCGCTTAGCCCGATGGTTGACTGGCAGAGAATGCCTTATGGCATTCAGTCCGCTGTTGAATGACAATCAAGAGTATAAAAATAAATACATACGCTTGTCGCTAGATAGTCAATAATTTACCTGGAAGAGATTGCTGCCTAGCGATAAGGCCGCCTATATTGTGTACGTTCTATCATGTTTTTAATTTACTTAAGTCTCTTATATGGTGTATAACAATAAAGAATACTATTATTATTAATTTGAGAAATTCTTCCATAGGGGTTCGCAGTAAACTGGACACTGTCCCTCGAGACCCACCACCTCGACCTACACCTTCAGGACTAGAGGCGGAGCTGGCGCGAGTCCACGCGATGCTGGCGCACAATTCTAAGGTTTATAAGGTTTTCGTCTATGCACTGCACTTTATTTATTTTTGGTTATTTTATAATTAAGCACTTGTTTGCAAATGTTGGAGCAAAAGTTTGGAAAATAGTTGGTGGCATGTTGGTGTAAGAGACAATTTGATATTCACAGCTTCTAGGATATTGTTTAATTTTATCAAATACTAGTTGACCCCGCGTACTTCGTACGGGTTAAAATAATTTGGAAGAAATGATGACCCGAGTCTACCGTACCAAAAGGGACGAACGTTAAATGTTTGACAGGAAAGTAGATAGAACAGTTTATATGGGAAAATTAAATTGACGTTTTTATTGTCTTCCTTGCGATTTTTCCATATTTTCTCACCTTTTAAACCTTCCCTAGACCTCCACGAACATTTCAATACCAATATAAGATAAATCCGTTGAGCCGTTCTCGAGTTTTAGCGAGACTAACGAACAGCAATTGATTTTTATATACATAGATTAATAAATATGGAAACAATATAAGCAAAATGGAAATCCTTTTACAAATCAGATTACCACAAATGGCTTTTTTTATTGACGTAAATCACAAATTGAGGAATATAAAGGAACAATTTGAGTAATTGTTACTTTTTTTTCCGAACATTGCAGTCAGTACCTCACGGAGTTGGTAGAGCAATGTCAGAGATATTTGTAAACACAATAAACGCCGTAAATATCTAATTTGCTAATGTGCCCTATTATTTGTTTGTACCAACATTATAATTAACAAAAGAACGTAGTGTATAATATCTATTTATTATTATTATATTTTTAAGGTTTTAAGTTTTATGTTCATTGTTCCTGTATATATTATTATTGTAAATAACATTTATGTAATAGATGCACATGGAAGTGATATCTATTTTATGTGCATGTTCACTCAATTTAAGGCGTGTATGAGATAGTAAAAATAAACTGTTTTAATTATATTATGTTTTATGATCAGCAGTAGAATGCAGTAATTATATTATAAAGATATAGAAAAAAGTGTTTTAAGCATGTAATTTAGGACAAGAATAATTTAAATGTGACATTTTATGAAAAGCATGTCAGTATTGTATTCTATTTGTCTAAAAAAATTTTGTTCTTTTAGAAGTACTCATAATCCGAGATTCTGAATGTTTACAAACCTCTTTATTACCCATCATTCTATATTAAAGTTATTAATAAAAAAACGACGGGTCGCACAACGGGGGGTGCTGGCAGAAGTGAAAACTTGAAAATTAGCGTTGTGCATTTTTGATATTTTGGTATGGTTAGGGAATAATTTTGCACGAATTGCTTTAATTATCAGTATAAAAGTACTATCATGTATGTGGTAGAATACAATATTTATTTATTGCGCTATAGTACACAAACATGACAATTTATATTACATTAAAAAAGTTTATCTCTTAGAAAAATCAACTAACATGAATCACGTTTGAGCACACTTAGCGACATCTATTGTAAAGAAATCAACTTACATGAATCACATTTAAGCGCACCTAGCGACATCTATTGTTAAAAAAATTCATTTTCTTCGCCATAAAGCTGCCACATGGACGTCCTAGATAGAAGATTTGTACTCCAGTCATGGATGTTTAATATGTATTTCTGTATAAATATACTTATATGTGTACATTATAGGGGCTAGGCTAATTGGTGTGTAATATAAATAACACTATTTGTATTTATACTGTATGACACAGCAATGCCAGTGCAATGCAGGTAAAAAAATTATAAATAATCATTATGTAATGAAAGGTGACTTCTTGAATCATCTCTAAAGTCATTTTTCAATTTGACGACTCTGTTAATAATAAAACAGGGAGAAAAAACAGCCCTTGCTGAGTTTCTTGCCGGTTCTTCTCAGTACAAGGTCTACAGCGGGAGAATTTACGAACCGATGGCGTAGCTTCAAGACATCCATGAGTGCTTGTAACAGCCTAAACTGAATAAATGATTTTGATTGTGATTATTATGTGAGTGTTGGAAATATTTATATTAATTTATTTAATATACCCTATTTACAGCAAATGAATCAATTCATTTAATTTCCTTTTTACTTATCTTACCTATTATTATTGTATAGAAACTGGAGCAGACTGTGGCGGATAACGCTCGATTAGAGCGGGAGTTACAGCAGTTACGGCGAGCGCTGCAAGCTCGCCGCGCCGCTGCGCCCGCGCATCCTACGGCAATGTTGGAAGACGGTATGTACCTACTATCTCGGAATTTTGCGCTCTGTCACTTGGCGAACAAAATGCTTTGAACGGTTTTCTACTGTAGTTTTTACTACGCCCCGCCTTCGCGTCGGACGCGCCAATCCGGGCCGCCGCACAAAAGTAAGACAGAGAGCATTTTATTGATTGAATAATGAATTGAATTGCATTTGTTTTAGTTGCAATTTGTCATTCGCATCGATCGCGACAGCGCTATACGAAAAAGTAAGACAGCGATAATTAGATGTCTATGAATGAATTTTACTACGCCGCTACCGCAAGCGATTATGGCATTATGGGTGACACAGCGGGTCTTCCCACGAGTGTACCTACATAATCACACATCAACAGCCACAAATACAATAATCACAAAATTAAAACATTTAACAAAATATATCAAATAATATACATAAAACAAAAACTTTATCTTAATTATGTACAGCAAATTAGTATCATAATTTTCATCATCGGCCTATTAATGCCCCCACTACTGGGGCACAGATCTTCCTTATGGATGGAAAAGGTAGATTGGGCCATGACCCACCACGCGGGCCCAGTGCGAATTGGTGGGTGCTAACGACTGCAGACACAGCCGGGACCATCGGCTTAACGTGCTTTCCGAAGCACTGAGGAGCTCGAGTTAGTGAATTTTTGATCACCCATCCTATGACCGACCACTGCGAAAGTTGCTTAACTTTAACGATCGCTGCCGAACGCGCTAACCACTTGCGCCATCGAGCTCCTCTATACCATACATAATATTCATAGTTATTTATAATATTAGTGCGGTAAGTTATTCATTACCAGACATCGGATTATATGAAATCAGAAATCAATATATCTTTATTCAAATTGGATATATAGTACAACTCTTTTGAATCGTCCAAATTATTTTTCCCTACCACTCGTTATTGGACATATTATTTTTGCATTATGCATATGCATACTTGCATATCAAAATGCATATATGAGACAAATTTGGCCGTTTATGCATATTTTAACCTTTTCCCCAATCGTGCATATTTCGTTTAGTAGCGGAAGGTACGTAAGGGGCCGTCCATTAATCACTTGATGTATTTTTTGGCATTTTTAACCCCCTCTTACCCCTTGGTGATACATAGTGAGGTTTAAGACTAAAGTAGTATTTGTCAATTTTGAGAAAACGATCCCACGTTACTTACTACTATTTATGGAGTCCATAAAAAATGGAAATTTTAATTCTGTTGTTTAATTCCGTAAAAAAAACTAATTTAAAATAACAATTTTCAAGTTGCCGCGAAAACGTTTCTCTGGACATTATGGCGTCTCACTAGTGTGCGACGTCACACGACTGTCATTAAAACGTCAACCGATACAATGTAATATCACTTTGGCCGGAATTATACTAGCGTGTGACGTCATTTTAGTCTTGGCCAATCACACAAGAATCAGTACAAGGACTTCGTTACTTCTCCTTATTCTCAAAGCGATTCCAATCGACTAACTAAACACTACCCATTCCCTTCTATTCCATCCTACATTGGAACTTCTATTTTATGAACACATCTAAAGAAAATTTTACTAGAAAAAATTCCACGTGGACCAGGCAGCAGACGGTGTTCGAACCCGCACCTTTCGCTATCCGAGCGAATGCACTGACCATTATGCTCCCGCGGCCCGTCGGCCGTGTCGAATTTTCTCGAGCCTTAGGCTGCAAGGCAGCGCAAGTTTAAATTTAAACATCTAGCATTTAAATGCTTAAAAAATCCAAAAATTTAGTTATCAACACATGTTTTGTTTGCAGAGGTATCCCGAGTACAGCACCTAGTAACGGCGTTGCAGCGACAACGGCAAGAGTTGAGTCGCGCTGTAAGACTGCTGACTCAGCAATCTCACGCGTTACAGAATACTCATGACTCAATGCCAGGTAAGCGGCACCAATCGAATTCTTATTTCTCTACAAGCTGACTTTATCCGCTTTAATTTTAGAAAACCCCTCAGGAACCTAACAATTTTTTGGGATTGAAAGTATTCTATGTCTCAATCCAGGTAATGAAACTATAAGTGTACCAAATTTCATTCAAATCCGTTCAGCCGTTTTCGCGTGATTGTGTAACAAACATAAAAAGTTTCACATTTATAATGTTTGTAGGATAATCCGAAAAATGATGATACGTTAAGTGTCTAAATTTTATTATCATTATTTATATATGTCAGCGCTAAGTGCCAATATAAACATCTAAGTGAGTATTTTCTGACTGCTGACTCAGCACAGCACTCTCATGAGTTACAGAGTACTCACAACTCAATCGGTAAAAATTTCGTCATACCTCAAATTCCGTTTCTTTCGTTAAAAAGAATTTATTTTAATTTTAACGTTAAACTGAGTCATTTATAAAAATCTAAACCAAAACGTCTAGTAAAATTTTCTTTAGTATTCAAAAATTATTTACTTTCAACAGGGAAACGTAGACCGCAAACGTCTTCTTGGCAAGAGACGAACTTGGACACGGGTCTAACCATAGACCACGGTCAGTCAGAATACGATTATGACGTCGCAAGTCCGTTGATGCCGCCCGGTCATTACGACCCGCGCAGCGTGGAGACGCCTCTATACGTGGACACGAGGGGAGGGGGGCGTGACGTCACATCCCCACTTACCAGCGAGGAGATGCAGCATTCAGGGTTCGGTAAGTTGTCCTATAGAGTGACAGAGAGAGTTTATGTATAACTTACGTTATACATAACCTTGACATTAGAATATGGTTTCCTATAGATTTAGCCATAAGTACATTCCATCAATATTTGTGCTTGTGGTACTAGAGCAGAAGACTTAAATCACATCTTCTTCGTGTGTCCCCTCAATGATTCCGCCTCTTTTATGGATTCATTAATATCACTTAATGTACCTCTCCCTACTTCTATTCCTTCCTTATTGTATTATAAAAATTATAATATATATAACAAGCTATCTGAATTCCTAACTAAACATAATATAAAATTATAAATAATTTATAACAAATAATGTAATGTATTTTATATACTTAAATAGACCTATTACTTACGTTTCAAATTAATTTAACGTACCTACCTGATCCTAATCCTTCCAAATTCCGTTTCACAACCATTTTATTTCATTATTTTGGTTTCCTTACCTTTTACCCTGTCGTGGCCAATGCACAAACCGTGCGAGCCATTATAATAATAAAAAAAAGTACATTCCATCATTCATGTATTATAACAAACCATCAGTCGTAACGTCACAACACCGCTTACAAGCGAGGCGATGCAGGATTCAGGATTCGGTAAGTTGTCCCATAGAGAGAGAGAGTAATCATAAATATAGATCATAGATAGAGTAACCATAATCTTATATCAAATTGATATCAAATTGATATAAGATTATGGTTTTCTATAGATACAGCCATAAGTACTTCCAATCAGTCATTAATTATAGCAAACCATCAGTCGTAACGCCACAACGCCGCTTACTAGCGAGGAGATGCAGGATTCAGGATACGGAAAGTTGTCCTATTGATTTTCCAAACTGTTATCCAAAAGTGTGTCTTTCTGCTTGTTCCTCTGTGATCTCTTCATGCTTTAACAGCAGATCTGATTTAGATGAAAAGTATAGAAATAGTTTGAGTCACGGCATAGGACAAATTATTCGTAATGGGGTTGAAAAGGGGAGTAGAAGCAATTTTCCACTTTTCATCTAAATCAGATCAGCGGTTTAAGCTGGAAAAAGTAACAGACAGACACATTAGACCATAGATGAAGCCCGGTCATTAGGACACGAGGGGAGCGAGGACTTACTAGCGAGGAGATGCAGGATTCAGGGTTCGGTATATCTCATGTACCATTTGATTTTGACTTACACACCAACATGAAGCAATAATGTTTAAAATTATGTACTCCTTCGTCTCCGGCATGTATAAGTGAAACTTGTGTTTTGATAATAAAAAGATTTGTGTTGTCCTAATAGAATTTCTGAATCGATAGCACATTCTAAGTCAGTAAATTCTTCCAAAGTCAAGTATTAACTTGCAGAGATCGTTGTATTGTGATTAGGGAAAAACTTCTGTGTTGTATGGTGGCTCGATTTACATATTTTACATGGCATAAAGTATGCCGCCAGGTATGGTATGACTGTGGATGTAAAAAAACTTGATTTATCTCTTTCTATTCATACAGGTAATCTATCAAATGTGGAAAAGCAGGAGATCAAGACGGTCCGTATCGTGAAAAGAGAGAGCGAGAGGAGACAGAGAGACAGAGAACGCTCGTTACAACCGATGTCCGATTGGCCGAGCAACAACATTACTGCGAACCTGGACCAGTTCATAGAAGAAGAACTAGTTCAATCACTGAACTATACCCGCGCCTCTTCTGTCCCAAGGAACGATTACAAAAGATACGATGATTACTACACGAAACCTCAGCCTGAACCGCCTAACTATTTACGCTTGAACGAAACCAATATGGAGCTGAGTCCCAAGTTCCCTTCCAGCCCTTCTCTATCCAACTACGATTATTCGCAGAACGTTTCCTCATTGAACAGCAGTTACCACAAGAGTTACGACAAGAGTTATGACAAGAGTTACGACAAGTCTCTCTACGATAGATCCTTGTCCACTCAGTACTTAAACAGTCCTACTGATAGTTCTCGGACTTTGACTAATGATCCTCTATCGAAGACTAGCAGCGTCGTAAGCTTGACCAGGTCTCATATGGAATTGTCGCCTATATTCAAAAGCGAGGCGGCGAAGCAGATAATTACTGAAATGTCTGGGGAGCCTAAAAGCGGCTCGCTGCATAGAAGACAAGTGCCGAAGGAGAAGAGAAGACATTATACTGCGCCGCATCATCTCAGCGCGAAGACTTTGAACGAGCTGCCGAAAGATGGATATAATCAGGATGTAAGTACATATATAAAAGTTAAGCAGAAATTCTAGAATTGATCCGCCTGGACTTAAACGGATGCTGTCAGTTTTGTTTTCTAAAAAGAAGACAGAGACAACATTAGGTTTAATATAAACAACACTAACTTAAGTTCGCGTTTTGGTATAAAGCGGTATAGGTTTGTAGAGGTATTCTATATTTGTTACTACTCAATAGTTATATTAAAAAGTGTCAATGAATTAATTTATGGACAAATGCGTTTTTACGAATTTAATATGCAAAGTAAGTAGGCTGCCGCGCGCGGCAAGTCCGAGCCAGTTTTCTTCGTACGTTCATTCTCGTGATTTTTCCCGCCTGAAACATCCCATCAAAGACTCCATTTTCTTTTTTAAATCAGGAACCGGGACATTCATCTTGTGGCCAAACTTTTAAGTAGGCATCTTCCCTAAGTCCTCTATTAGTAAAATTAGGATCACTTGCACTCCATAGCCAGGTGTTTACACCATAGAGAGATGTTAATTTCAAACACTGATCTTTATTCATAATTATTGTGCTCGAACGAGACACGAAACAAAATACGCGAGCGTCCAGAGTGCGCGCGGTAAACGACCGAGGCGCCTTTGAGCAAAACAAAAAACCGACACTCGATGGCTCGAGCACTCGGTCGTTCGCCCGCGGCAGCGCGCGCGCTTGCCTCGGCCGAGGCACGTCCACATTAACCGAGCTGCCTCGCGCGGCAATTGTCTTGCGAGGCTGCTCGCTCTGTGTAGACGCGCCTAATGAGTTCCATCTCCAACATGCGTCACCGTAAAGACGACCGTCTTTTTGCGTCAGTAATATTACGGCCGCTATATGACGGCAGCGCTATCCTAAGAAACCAGATTTTAAGTATGCATCACATTTACATAGATCTTCGTATGGATTGAATACTTACTAGTGTGTGACGTCACACGACTGTTATTAAAACGACAAACGATACAATGTAATGTCACTTTAACCGGAAGTTTACTTGCGTGGACGTCATTTTAGGCTCGGCCAATCCCAAGCGTTTTGGGTCACGTGACATTAGATAAGAAAACTATTATCTTTTTCGTTAGTTTTTAGTAAAATTATGAATATTTTTGTTGTAAAAATAGTAAAAACCCCTGCCAATATTTATTCTAAACACAGATGCCAACAATTGGCACTTTATTTTTAACTCTGTCAAATACCCTTTTATACCTATTATTCTCTGGTGACAGAAGATAGCGAGGTCCCTCGACGACGCTGACATGGAACGCGCATTACGAGCGCCGGACGTGGTCCGCTCGTCGCTTCCCGCGCCCGCTCACGCTCACGCTCACTCGTCCGCCACCGCTCACGCTCACGCCACCGCCGGCGCGCCCGCTCACCGCCTCGTCGATAACACTATAGACCAATTGCTCGCCGCGCCGCAGAAGATATTGATTCCGGAGCGGTACATACCCGAGAAGGTGAGTGACTGCTTCAATACTAGCTGTCCCAGCAAACTTTTTACCGCCATAAAAAAATAGGGGTTGGTTCGTTCGTAACGAAGAGTGAAAATTTAGGGTTGTATGTGTTTTTGTATGATGAATCATAAACAAAAAAATAAAAACAAAAAAAAAGTCATAAAAAAATAGTTGTTGACCGATTCTCAGACCTACTGAATATGCATATAAAATCACGAAAATCGGTCGAATCGTTTCAAAGTAGTTCAATTACGCACACCGTGACACGAGAATTTTATATATAAGATAAACTTTGAATACAAAACCTACATTTATTTCTTTCATATTTAGCATTTCGCGTTACATCTTTAATTGTTATTAAAATAATTCAGACCCTATAAAAAAGTATCCGTGGCTCAGTGGTAAAAAGCATGCCTGCTAAGTAGGCGGCCTGGGTTCGATTCCTTACTTAGGAAGAACTTATTAATGTTATTAAAAGTTTTACTAAGATTATGATTCCATAAAACCATACCATTTTTTTTTCAAAAGTAAACACTGATCGGTTTAGTTTTCATCCAGATCCGTGCAGTCGCAATTAAAAAACACAAACGTGAATATTTATAGGGTACTCATTGACAGACCAAATAAAAAGGTGAAATTTCGGCCAATAGACTCACTACTTTTACATAAGCCTATTGAGAAATTTATTTTCATTTCATACAGCCTCCAGAACTGTCTCCTGAGGAACAACAAAAGCGTCAAGAAAAAGTGGAGTCTATCAAAAAAATGCTTACCAGCACATCCAACGATCCAACTAAGGTCAGTTAAAATATTGTTCTTATTAAAAGCAAAATTGACTCAGAATTTTACGACAATAATTTCAAATAAGGGATTGAACACTTCAAAAGTTATATACATAATATTCTATTTAATAAAGAAAATTATCTAACTTTCACTTTTCCTATACTTAATATTGATTTCACACCATTTTTAAACTTTGAGTCCTAAAATTAAAAGACAAACAGAAAAGAGTTATTTTCATCCATAAGTAAACTTCTCAATTTCTTTCTTAGTATCAGCCAAATCCTTACCTCTACATCATCACATCAATTTCAACGTTTAACAGTTTCAAAAAAGTAAATAATTCGTCCTAAATCGGTCATTTATCATTCCAATCATATCTAAAATTCTTTTTTACTCGATCAATATTTTTTTCCCATTCGTTGCACCTTGGCTCAACATGCTTTCATTGTCTTTGGAATGTCTCACTCTCTCTCACTTCTGCATGATCATTTCTATTCTATTTCATTATATAAGTTCATCGTAAATACAACCGAAATAGTTCCTATTTTTGCAGACAGAATTTATTTCTGAAATTTATCATCGTAGATCGTCATCTTTGCGTCGATATTGGATCCTTCTTTTATCAGATCTAAATTTCTGTCTGTAATAGTTAAAGCTTCTTTAGCCGCTTGAATGTTGGCTGTATATAAATGATTAGCATCATATGTCTGTGCTTCGATACGCTAGAGTCCGGACGGTCCAGAGAAGAGGCAGCGGGAACACTTACTGCAGATGAACCAGATCCTAGCCAAGCAAGTCACGGAAATGAGCAAAATCATCGCTGGTAAGAATTAAGTAACCGATTAAAATTCATTATGATTTGAGTGTTCAGTTTGATGTTTCTATTACAATGAAATTGAACTGTACTTTGAGCTACCGCGAACAGTTACTTATCATAACAATGGCTTAAAGTTATCGTGATTTTATAATAGAGTAAAACCTTGCTTGAACCAAAGAGACCAAAATAAAATATCTTTACGTTTTAATTATGATTTTGGGGCACTTGAAACATTTAAAAGACTCTTAATATTGAGGTAACTATGGAACCGTACACAAGGCGTGTTTTTTTTTTTTTATATTTGTTGAAAATTATTTAATTTTATTTGTAGCTCATATTGATATACTCACTTGGATACTCAAATATACGTTCTAGGGGTTTTGGCGCTGTAAGTTGTATTAAAGACTATTGTACTAAAATTATTTAATGTATTAAGTGTTACAAATTGAAAAAAAAAAACGATTCTCTAGGTAATAAACGTTATTCTATTTATTTTTTTAATACTTATTTATAACCTTTAATGTGTTTAGTGTAAACTTGTCGAGAAAGCTTATAAAACTGTCAAAATTACGGTATTAATCACTTAACTAGTCAGCCAGAGATTGAGGCAAGCATTCTCGCGACCTTATTTAATTTGATTACCAGCCCCCATCCATAGTTGTTTGTTCGCGAGATGATTAATTGCTAAAAGTTGTAGCTACAATTAAGTGGCCTTACCCCGTCGTCAATTAGTATTTGTTTCTGATTTAAATTTAACTCGAATTACAGTTTGATTTATCAGCGGATTGGTTTTGATGTCGCTATTTGACCTATAACTTCACTCTTAGCGCCCGTATTGTCTAGTCTAAAATTTTGAAATTATTACCCACATGTTTAGTTAGATCGATTTGCACTATGATTTGCAATTTTAATTCCTTATCTGTTATTAGAATTGTTTGATGTTTTTTTTCTGAACTCGGTAACCAAACGACAATCGAGTAATTAATTTTATTTTGACGGATTCACTGTCTGCATCATTGAACGCGCTTATTTTCTTGGTCTTTATGAATATTTTATTCACAAACAGTTCTAATAACACTTTGGTGTGACTAACACCCACTTGTGCGAGCGCATGTAACAAACGCTTGATGTCGTCTGTCCCATTTTTGACAGGAACCAACCCTGACCAAGGACCGTCCACTGCAAACAACTGAATTACCACACTCATAACCTCACATTTTAAGCACATCTAGCCCACACACTACCCATAGCATAAGCTACTACCATACCAAATTGTGTAAGAGAATATTGGCGATAACTGGGCGGTCCTGGATCCTGCTACCCTGTGTTGCAGCATGATAAAGTTTTTGCGTACATTTGTGAGTAGAAATCCATGTTTTATTTTTAGTAATGTATGATTTTCTGTGTCTAATTGTGTTTTGTCCGTGTTAAATGATTTCGCATTTAATTTTCAAGTAGAGTGTTTTTTAAACTTTTAATAATGATTTTTTTTTATATTTATCTTGATTATTAATATTCAAAATTTCAAACATTATTGTTATGCATAGGAGCTCAGATTTTTTATGCAAAATTTTGGTGTTACTACAGTGAAAGCTTTGGAAGAGCTGCCTCTGAACAACGGAAGCCACGACCCCGACGACCGATCGCCTGACATTGAACTCCCGATTTACCAACAACGAGACAATTTCTTTACATAATCAAATCTACTAAATGAAAATTACTTTTTAATGAATGTCAAAGAAGACCCTAAATTGCCTAAATGACGAATATCTGACTGTCACCACTAACAAGTCTTTCTACCACCCTACCCTTTCTTTAAGGGAAAGGTAATAAAAAAAAATACCAATATAAATGTTCGATCCTTCCAAAATTTTAATTGGCATTTATTTTCACGCGATTATATAGCGATGATAAATAATTTCAAGTCAAGTGTGATATTCGAATTTCCAATCACTTCTTGCCTGACTTGTATTTTATCCTTGACGAACCAACTAATACTGTACTCCCTAATAAATACTGCCTCTTATATTTATATATGTTTTCTTATAAACAAAATAACAATCTTCGAATAATCAAATGAAATGTTTGTACTATACAGAACTTTAGCACTGAACGTTTTAGAAGTATAAGAGCTTGATGTTTAGGGCACTTTTTGCTGATTCAATGTTGATATTATTATACGTATCCTCTTTGATTAGATCGCGAATATTTCGCAATTGTATTGGATTTACTCCTTGGCAAATACTGTTATTACCTTATGGATAGAATTCTAAATGGACATCAAGTTTTGCGGGCTTTAATATATTATAAGCTAAAGTAGTATGTTCAATTACTAGTAAATATGAGACTTGATGAAAATATATATTAGATACTATATATATAATTGACTCTGTAGGTCATGCTTTTATATTAGACAGTGGTTTTATATATTGCCACTCAGATCTAACGAAGTTGCTCATTTGTCTTTGATAAATTTAGCATTCACAATGATAGAGAAATAGCTATTAATAATTTATATCAAGGATAGAATAAAGCAGATGGTGACAAAAATGGATTTGAAACTGCTAACTTTGTTATACAGGCGTCTGTTGGTTGGTAAATATCTTTAATATAAATCATTATTGCTCACAAACACTAATAAAAACCTATAACGACTGAAATGCATGCAATGCTTAAACAAACTTTAATTCCTAGTGAAACTTGACACTTATACTAATTATAATTTGATTGCTAATTTAATAGTACTTTAACGAAATACAAGTTTTACGTATTCACTAAGGATTATTAATTTTTCAGATTGAGAAATGATAAAATATTTAGCCATGTTTTTAATTTGGAAAAATGTTATGATATCACCTATCATAAATTCACGATAGGCCATTTTAATTAATTATTTACCTATAAATTTCACGTAAAAGATGCTTTTGAAATCAACATGATGCTAGCTTAGATTACAGGGTTTTTTCTTGGGTAAACAGCATTATTGCCAGTAACTCTTTTGTGTAATTCTAAACAAATAAAGGTCAAAAAATAACAGAAATCCTATCAAATATACCTAAACAATTTATTAAACTGCGAGTCCGTAAATTTGATTTTCCATCGTTTTCCAAGTTCATTAGTCTAACGGACCGCGAGAATCGAATTTGTCTAGCGAGCTATCAAAATCGTGCTCTGTAACGTTGTCCTTAGTAGCGGCCTTGAGGATCACGTGAATACACAACGTAATTAATAAACGTTCTAATATAATTGATTCTTCGAAATTGAATTAGGTCCTCTCAAATCCAATCATTGACGTCCTTTTGGTACAATGGTAGCATAAGCCTAATGGTGCAAAGGTTCGAATCTTTCATGCATTATGTCGTAATCCTTTGTTGGGTTGTAATGGCCCGTACTCACATACAGTAATACTCTATCATATCTCCCTAATTAATAAACGAAGAATAAGCTTGTATTGTTTATTGGGTTGATGATGATGATGATGAAGCTTGAATAAGTTACTCCATGTTTTGTCTCTGTTCGTTGAATGACAAATGGCATTTGAGTGATATGAACAAAACACGGCGTACCTAATCTAAGCTTATTCCCCGTTTATGAAAAAGAGGGAATAGGTTTACTCTAAAGCGAGTAGAAGACAACGCATCGCAGTTTACGAATAAGAAAAAAGAAATGATGTCCACACGTTGATTTCACTCACGTTAGATTAAAATTAGCGAATAATGCCATAGCGACAGTAAAAAGAAATCCTGCAGCCCACAAAATACGAAATGTTCACCAGAACCAAAAAAATTTTGAGATTTTAGAGAAAAAAAAAATATATCTCCTAAACTGTTCCATCTATAGATGAAATTTCTAGAACCAGAATGTATTTGTTGATTATTTGTCTAGTTAAATACCAAAAAAAAAAACTATAAGTTAGTTTCTGGAGTCGACACAGGTTTTTTTCCTGATTCTAAATATGAAATTAAAAAAAATATATGAGGAGTGCGGTTTACAGCAGGAATGCTTTATACCACCTATATGTGCGTAAGGACAATTAGAACAGAAATAAAAATTTATTACATATTACTCACTGTCTGGGACAAAATGATTCAATCTGGATTATTTGCTTGTACTAGGGCTCATGCAACCGTATAGTTAAAAAAGAGTGGGATACGTTTATTTAAATACTTTTTTATTTGCATCAAAATGTAAATTCTAATTTTCAAAGTCTGAAATAATAGAAAATATCTTGAAAATTTAATTTCAGAAGAAGAAATTGGATGTTTGCCTTTAGAAACAATGACTGCTTGTTCACGATTGTAATATTATATTTCGTAGAGTAACTTCCTACTGTCAAAATTGGGCCTTAAACCTTTATCACCGTAAAGTTCAAAATGGAAGACTACTAATGTTTTTTTATTGCTAATTGCATTATTTTTTATTTCATGATTTTGTATTTTTTTAAATAAATTCAATGGTACCTATTTGAAATGAATGAAACTCTTTTAACGAAAAACTATAATTGAAACTACAACATAAAAACTGCAATTAAAGTAAGACAATTATGATACAACACACCTTAATTATAGTAAAATTGTGGAAAACGTCTAACTTTAATTACAGTTTTTTTTGATCCAGGACAAAAGTGTCTTAAAATAAATATATGATGAAAATGACGAGAACAATGCTTGAGCTTTGCACATATCCAATGTAATATCATGTATATGTAAAATTTGTAAATTAAAATGCTTAGTGAAATTATTTATTGTTTTTGGTACTTTCTTATTGCCGCAAGGTGCTCTGCAGACAAAGCAACTTTTGATTTCCGAAATTGTGACAGGCAACTTTCAAAATTTGTAGGTATGCATTTGTTTTTGGGACATTTAAATATGGAAACCGGTTTATAGAAACCAAGTTTAGGCAGTGTTTTGACTAAAAATCAAGTCGTCGTATTTCGTTATTAATTTTGTTAGCTAGAGAAATAGTTTTTATTGGATGTATTTTTTTTGAATTTCAATTCTTTAAGATTTTCTCCTGCAGTTAGATTCGAGTTTGATTCTCGGTAATGGTGTTTATGCTTTTCTGTATGGACTTATGAACTAGTTTCTGAATCGTTTTATCCTTTATTTTATGTGTATAGTACAAAACCAGTTTTTTGAATACTAAAGGGTATTACTATCAAGGTGCTATGTCTGTGCAGCATCTTGTTTGTCGTGATCGTTTGTTGGGCCCCTAATGATTGCTCAATTTTGATGACATTCCTCTTCTAGTAGAAAATATGTTTTCTCTTATAAATTTCATTTTACGCCTGTTTAATAGACGAAATTGTAAAAGAAGTCTTCTATGTAATGGCCTTCAATTGTTACTTTAGATTTAGGGTAATTTATAGTGAAATGTACTAAATATTAAATTAAGATGCCATGTTAATCGATCGATTGAAATTTTACCGTAGATAATTCACATAACTTTATAAATTGAATAATATCAATTGATTTAATGTACCTATTTACTTATATTAAGTTAACAGACGAATAACAATGCGTTTTAGTATTTATTTCGTTTTAGTTTTTTTGTCGTGTATTTTTGTGTAAATAAATTATGAATTAAAAAGTTTTTTAAGTATTTAATTTACTTTTTGTTTTATTTAATTTTTTTGTTCTTAAAGCGCACGTATTGAATAGGTAGCTGTCAATTGTAGGTAGCTTAGGATTTCCTATTTAAATATATAAAAAAATATACCTCGTGCTGAAAAATATTCTTATTTATAAATTGGAAGTTAAAAGCATAGTAAGTACTACACTAATCTTCACGAATTTAAGGGTATTGATTGACTGTTTTACTTTGAAAGTTGTTCACAAATTGATAGCAAATTATTAGGAATGGGTTTTAGGTTTTTTTTAATAAAATAAATAAGAAAAAAAAAATATATCTCCGTTGTTTATTTGGAACATCTATTATAAATATTGACGACCTCCGTGACCGAGTGATTTATACGCCGGGTTTCATGGTGTCGCCGACTAGAGAGGTCCCGGGTTCAAATCCCGGTGGGGGCAGATGTTTGTGTGATGATTACGAGCATTTGTACTCCAGTCATGGATGTTTAATATCTATTTAGGGATAGAGTACAATATATGTATTCTATTCGTTACCCTAGTATCCCATAACACAAGCCTTATAGTGCTTACTTTGGGGCTAGGCTAATTGGTGTGAGTGTTGGAAATATTTATTTATTATATAATATATCTTTGAATCATGAGTAAAGTTCGATTATAGCAAATTGCAATACATGAAACGATTATGTAAAGTTCCATTTAGTTCTTTGCATTATTTCTTCACAGCTCTAGCCAACCGTTTGAATAACTGAATATATTAGCTATTAAATTAAATAATTTAGCTACTCATTTCTTATATACTTCACACTCAAAAGTAAAGGTATATTCATTAATAAATATCATTAAAACTTCACTATCCAGATTTACTTCAATTAAGTACTGAATAACTTACAAAAGAAATACATCAGCCCCAAATTATAACAATACAATTATAGTGAATTAACTGATATTCAAAATGTCAGTGATTATAATGACTTATCGGTAAACTTAGTTAATTTATGTGTGATATTCTCTTCTCAATAAAATCCAATAAATCAAGTTACACTGTTGAATGAGTTGTACCGTATTCATCCTATGGCGTCTCATCCCATTTCCTTATTCATCCCAAATTTGTATTCCTAATTCAACATATTGAATATATTTTCTTAATTCAACCCAATTGTGTTCCTTACACTTCCCTAGGCAGATATTAGCAAAAAAGGTAAGACTAGTTTTTACGGGTTACTGCACGAAATTTTATTTTATTTATTGACGTTTGGGTGAATAATAAAAAATATTTCGGACGAAGCAGTCTGAAAAGGCTGCGAAACGTCAATAAATAAATAAAGTTTCGTGCATTAACCCGTAAAAACTAGTTTTATCTCAAAAAGGTAAGCAAAATAACAATTTAGAAATATCAAAAGTATAATTTTTAACTTATTTATTTTGTTTTAGTACTTCTAATTTTTTTAGCGATGTGACGACTATGAATGCCCCAACTACCATTGTAGAAACATTTTGATATATTAATATGTATGTATGTATAGTATATAAGCCTTAAAAATGAGTTGTGTAAATACCTACAGGGAATTGTGTAACTGTTTTAGTGATTGCATTATACATATTATTCTTTTACATCAGACAAGTTGATATTAAAATGCTTCTTTGTTCACACCATGATAAAAATAAAAAAACTTATCAGTTATTACTTTGGAGTTTCATTTTTTATTCGATAAACCTCATTCCCAGTTAGGATACAATGCCTTGCTCCAGGGCCACATTTAATGCTTTAAATCCGGCCCTGGAGCAAGGCATTGTATCCTAAGACATTAATAGCTACCCTATTCAGTTGTGGCCCAGGGGCCCCAAAAATGAAGGCGTGTTAAGTCCGGTCCAGGTTGCATCTTTTCGTTAGCACCCACCAATCCACCCGCATGTCGGTCACGTCACGGTCCAATCACCCTATTGCATCCATAGGGAAGGCCTGTGCCCCAGCAGTGGAGGCATTAATAGGGTAATGATGTGATGATAGGAAAGTCCTGTAGGTACCCCAGAAGTTGTGAATTTAATAGGATGATGACCTGTAAAATAAAATCAATTAAGCAAGTATTAGCTATAGTCAAACAATATATTTACATACAATGCAAAAAGATGGCGTTGCCTTGTAGCCTAAGAAAGGCTAGAGAAAATTCGACGCGATGGTAGCATAATGGTCAGTGCATTCGCCCGGATAGCGAAGGAGTCCCGTCTGCTGCCTGGTCCGCGTGGAATTTCTGTTCTCAGTGGAAAACATCGCCATTCCTTCCCCTTCCCTCTATTCAGGGCACAACACTGATACTACAGAGCAACATCACCATGCTCGGTATGGAAGTTCACTCAGACCTGAATCCAAAAGACTACATTGTAACCGTGACCAAAACAGCTTCAAGCAAGCTCGGAGTCCTGAACAAGATGCGACGTTATTTCATGCCTGATCAGCTGTGCTTGTTGTACAAAACGCAAGTGCAGAAGTGCAGTCCTGCGTTGAATATTGCTCGCACCTCTGGGATGGCTTCGCTAAGTACTTACTCGATGCCTTGGATAGGTTGCAGCATCATTGGCGTTGAAGAGGTAACTAAGAAACTCGAGTCTCTACAATTGTGTCGTGATGTGGCATCATTAAGCGCATTCTACCGACTATATCACGGCGAGTGTTCTGGGGAGTTATTCTGCCTTATCCCTCCATCACCTTTTCTTCAGAGAACCACGCCCGCTGGCCTACGTTACCACCGACTTACTGTGGCCACTATTCCTATACGAACAAAGAAATTTGGAGACTCATTTCTATGACGTACTATTTGCAAGTGGGATTCTTTGCCCGCGCACGTGTTCCCTCCTTCCTACAATCTGGGGTCCTTTAAGAGAGGCGTGAAGAAGCATTTTTGCAGGCCGGCATGGTGAGGATGGTTGGTGTGGCAGTTTATATCTGTTGTACCAGCTATCTTCGTGTTTGGACTCTGTCACCACTTAACATCAGGTTGGGTACAATCATTTGCCTACCTGGCTATAAAAAAAAATCTAGTAAAATTTTCATTAGATTTAAACATCTAGCAGTTAAATGCTTAAAACAACATATAACAACATATTTCATTTTAAAAAATGTAGGAAAACAGAACTACAGGTAAGACACGAATGGAAGTCAGGCAAGGACACGGAAGTATTTAGGAAA